AGAATTTCAATAAACTTTTGAAATATTTGGCCTATAGAAATTCTATAAAATTTCTATAGAATGTCTATTAATTTTAATAGAAATTTCTGTAAAACTTTTTTTTATCAAAAAAAAAAAAAGTAAAAAAAAAAGTTCTTAGAAATTTCTATAAGAACTAACAGAGACTGTGTAAAAAATCTATAGATTTTTATAGAATTTCTATAGGTCATATGTTTCAAAAGTTTATAGAAATCCTATAGAACTTTTTTCCTGGGTAAAATGTAATTTCATCATTAAGTACTACTTAGTAAACCATTAGTTGCATTCGCTAAAAGTTGCCAATGAGTAGCCATTTTATCAAAAGATATCGGTTGGCCACTTATTGTGGACACGGTTGGCCACTTATTGTGGATGCCATGATGGTTCACTAAGTAACCCATGAGCAAAACTCCAATAAACCGCTAAAAATGCCTATATAATCCAGGAAAATAAGTTCTATAAAGTTTTCTATAAACTTTTGAAAGATATGACCTATTGAATTTCTATAGAATGTCCATTAATTTCTATAGAAATTGCTATAAAACTTTTTTTCTATAAAAAAAAGTACAAAAAAAATTGAATAAGAATTTTTGTCCAGAAGGAAATCAACTTTTTTTAATAGTTTAGACTAATTTATTAATTTTCGTGTACAAATAATGAACTTTGTGATGAATAAAACTTGAAAAACGTTGTCTCTAAATAGCTACATAGTTTCATAGTACAAAAAAAAATTGAATAAGAATTTTTATAAAAGTTAATAGAAACTCTATAGAAATTCTAAAGAATTTTATAGAATTTCTATAGGCCATATGTTTCAAAAGTTTGTATAAAATTTTATAGAACTTATTTTCCTGGGAAGTCAACTGCAAATACTATTTCTAGCCACTAAGTTAAAACTATTATCTTCTTTGTTTGTATTTAGAGTGAGTAGTTTCTTATCGGATCCGATAACAAACTACACACCAAATAATTCCACGGAATTTACGAATTTTCGTTGGTATTTACGGTCAATTTGCCGTCGATTTGCGTTTGATTTATAATCGAGTTAGCTTAAATTACTACAATTGCAAATGTTTTTAGCAGTTGCTGTTTGTATTCATGAATACAAGCAGCAATGTTTGAGTTTTTTTATAACAGCTAACAGGTTGTAAACTCTATTTTCATAATGTGCATAACCATCGAGTTTTAATTTTGATATTTGACACAACAGTCAAATATCAAGTTTAAAACTCTTATAAAATTCAAAAAGAAAAAGAAATTTAAAAAAAAAACTTATGCTGTTATAAGAAAAAATAGGTTACCAAAAAAAGCGTATTAAAAACTCAAGAAATCAAAAACTCGTAACTGGACTTTAATGTCTTACAGTTACTGTAAGAGATAAAAGGATAAAAAAAAAAAAAAAAGACAAGAAAAGATATATAAAGAAAAAGTATAGAAAAGATTGGTTTCAAAATGGCTTACAAAGACCCGTATTTTTACAGCTAGTAATATAAAAATATTGTCCATAATACTAGCTCTCTTTTTTTTTTCTATTATTGTTCATGTTTTATCTCTTCTTTATTTGTATGAATTTGTAGGTTTTATTTCTTTTTTATTTGTATGAATTTGTATGTTTTATCTCTTCTTTATTTGAAATCCTAATAAATAAAAGTTAAAAGCAATAATAATAATAATAAAAATAATAGTAATAATAATAATAACAATAATAACAATAATAATAATAGTAATAATAGTCTTTTTATATTTGTATTTTTTTACTTTTTTTATTTTTTGCATATATTACATTGTAAAGTAACGAAAAAGTGTAATTTACTGACGTAACGCATTTTTTTAAATTTATATCTATATGTTAAAAGGGTTTGGCGATAAGACTGAATTTGTCTTCTTCTGCCCATATATTTACATTTTAGCGATATTTACATTTTATTATAACTTTGTAAATTTTTCTTAATGGTGAAATACATAAAGATAATTATATTTTGCATTGAGTTTTCTGAGATTCGGTTTTTCGATAATTAAATCTTTTGAATGAGAACAAATAAGAAAAAATTGATTTATAAAAGTGTTTTTTTGTTTTCAAAATAGTTTCATATAATTTCAAGATTAATAAAAACCTTTTTTTCTGAACCCTTTTTTATTGGCATTATATTTTCAGAGCACGTTTAAAACTACTTTTCTTCTAAATAAAAACAGTTTGTTAAACAATTTTATAAATAAAACTTTTAAACAAATTTATAATTAAATACATAGTCGGGATGAAAAGAATCATCATACTTATTTCCTGTATAAAACCGAATCTGAAATTAAAAAATAAGTAAATAAAAAAGATATTTAGTTCGATACTTCCACTTACTTTTTGAAATGGTTGTTCTAGTTAAAAAAAAAATGCACTTAAAAATCTTAAATTATATCCACAATGTATAGATTCCACTTGGTAACCGATGAGCAACTCCAATGAACCGCTCAAAATGCTTATATAGGTCCACTGCAAATACTATTTCTACCCACTAAATTGAAATTATTTTCTTCTTTGTTGGTGTTTGCTGTGTGTGTGGTTTATTATCGGAATTTACTGCTTTTGTTTGCTAATTACAGTCAGTTTGTCGTCGATTTGTATTCGATGTGCAATCGGGTAAGATTGAGCATACCCAATTGTATTGACATTGTATGCGCATTTCTAATATGAAAAGCGTATATAAAATGTATATACGCATATCGTATTTATATTGTGGAAATAATTATAGATTTGTATTTACTTAAAAATCTATAATCATCTCCACAAGGTATAGATTTTTCAGACCAATTTTTTCTTTAAAGCTACCCATTTAGCATTCAGAACCCATTTACGTTCAGAAAACGTAAAAATACTGAATATTTAAGTAATTATCGAAACAAATGGATAGTTGCCTAGTATAAAAGCAAATAACTTAGTGGAAGAAATGGTAATAATTGGTCATGTATACATGTTTATTCCCAACAGTAAAAAAGGAACGGGTCAGATCAAACTCACTTTTATAGAGCTGTGTAAAGTTTGCAACGAGGACAAGTGATATTTAGTAAATAAAATAGAAATAGAATCAATAGTTATATATTAGTTTTATCCTATTTCAAGGTCACATGACTCGGAGACTGGACTATTAATAAAATTTGTTTACTTTGACATTACAATATTTTGTTTAATTAAAACAACAATAAATTCTTATTATGTTATAAAGATGAATTACAATACAATATTTATTGTTGTTTTAGTGGGTCATTACAATACCTTTTTTTCTAGATATTGTTATTATATTATGAAGATGAATTGCAATACAATATTTGTTGTTATTGTATTACAGTGTTTCAATACAGAGGCATTGTTATTGTTTCTAAAAAAAGTTAATAGAATAACAATAGCTAATGTGTCTGTTATTGTCTTCATCACAATTACAACAATTCAAACTCTAGTTGAAAACGCTATAAAGATAAATAAGAAAATAAAAATATTTGCATCAAAGCTAGATTGAGCTGTAAAGTTCTAGTGAAGAAAGTAAAACACTAAGAGTGATGAGATAATAATAAACAAAGTTGAACAGTTATTTTATTTCTTTTAAAATATATTACATTTTTAATGACGTAGCAAATTTGAATACAATTATTTTTTAAATAAATAGTTTTCACAGTAGGGCAGGTCAATATTCAACTTTTTTTGGAAAATGGACATTGGACAAGTTTTAAAGCTTTAGAGAAAGAATTACATTTTATGTAAATCAGGACACTCAAAACACACACACACTAAAGCGAATTTCCGCTACCGTTTTTTCTTATTTAGTTAGATTTTTGATTTAGCAAGAGTTATTTACGCTACAGAGTGTTTGTTATCTGAGTTAATGTTAAGAGAAAATGAAATAAAACCGTTTTTTTATGTCATTTATATATAAATTACAAATTAGATTACAAATTTATTTATTTTGATAAAATTTATAAAAAAATATAAAATACAATTATTCAATGAGATATATATATAAAAGAAAAAGAAAAACATTTTTTCTTTAAAATAATATGCTAAACTCGATAAACTTTAAAAATGTTCTCTTTCAAAGCATTAGTTTTAACACTGTTTTTATTTGAAACTTTAAAAAAAATTGTTTTTATGCATAGAAATCCATGAAAAATTAGCCTTCCTCAAAAGCAAGTTTACCAAAATTTCTTTAGAGTGATATTTTAACTTGCAATAAAAAACTCGACTCTATTAGTAATAACTCAGTTTCAAAATCGACCTGCCCTATTTCACAGTTTAAAATTTTTTATCTCACTAATTATTAATATTTTGAATTATGATTTTAAAATAAGCAGAGTTTGTAAAACTTTTTATTTAATAATTTTTTTATTATTTACAAATATTAAATAGTATTATCTATAACAGATTTATAAACTATTTAATTCAATAAGACGTAAAACATTAAAAAAGATCAGATTCAAATTTTTAGTTAAGAAAATTATGATTTCGATAATTATAAAATTACTAAATAATACTTTGAAAATTAAATAGAGTTGCTAGAAAAAAATTGAAAACAATCTTTACAAAAATAAAGTTATTTCGTATAAAAATACAACTAATAAAATATTTTTATAGTTATAAGCATCTTTTTTTTTTTTCATTTATTCAGGGTTATAAATATATATATATATATATATATATATATATATATATATATATATATATATATATATATATATATATATATATATATATATATATATATATATATATATATATATATATATATATATATATATATATATATATATATATATATATATGTAAATATATATATATATATATATATATATATATATATATATATATATATAAACATATATATGTAAATATATGTATATATATATATATATATATATATATATATATATATATATATATATATATATATATATATATATATATATATATATATATATATATATATATATATATATGGTTCTTAAAATTCCAGAAAACGTATATAAATTTCTTAAATTCCAAATATATAAAGTTTGTTTATAAAAGGTTTATAAAAACTATTAACAAATATATAAAAAAATATAAAAAAAAAATTTTTGTTTTTCTTAAACTTTTAGAACTTCTGTTCAACTGATTAAACTTTGTTGTGGTCATGCAACACAAGAGTCTGTTTTGTTTATTTTCACACTTTTCGCATATGTTATTATTTATTCTCTAAAATTTACAGAAATGAGTTTAAAAATTATAAAATTTGATTTTTGTTAATATTTAATAAAATTCTTTATTCAACATTTATATTGCTGAAATAGCTTTTTAATTGTTCAAGACTACAAAAAGATTCTCCACGGTATCTAATCATCACTCTCTTGATATTTAGACATAAAAGCCATTTATAAATATCTTTTATAAAGTCGATATCGTAGTGAAGGGATAAATGTAATTCTTCACAAACATTAACCCATGGAAGAAAACAATCTTCAAAATCCTCTTTTGATATAGAATATCTGGAGATGTAAATCAACAACTCTTCAATCTTATCTTTTGGTTTCCAATTGTCAAATTTAATTGGATGATAAAGGGCGACATAACGAACATTTGTCGAACTTTTCATTATGAGATTTTTTTCATCGTCACTTAAAACTTTTTTATTAACACTTAAGTCTGATAACTTCCTTCCAGAATTTATAAAATGATTCACAAAGTAAATTTCACAAGTAGTTTCATAGGAGGTTTTTCCGCCATTGATCGAAATTGCCCAACGTCGTTGTTTATCGACAAATGATTTTATTTCATCTGTGATTGATGACTGGCTTTCATAAAAACATTCATAAAATATCGTATTAAAATCATCAACGCCTGAAAGATCTAATTAAGAATGAAATATAAATAATCAATTAGAAATCATAATTCAAAATTTTTATCACAAAAGTTAGTTTTATTTTAATACTGTTGGCTTAATTGATATTTAACTATAATGGCTATCATTCAACCCAAAAACAAATTATGTAGCTATGTACTTATAACATAACCAATGATGTGGTTATGTACTAATAACATAAAAAAATAAAAATTTGATTTTCAAATTGCAAAATCAATAAAAATTGACAAGAATAACAAAAAATAATTTCTAAAATAAACGATGACGCCATGCCATATGCACTAATCATTTTTGTCATGTCATATGCACTAATCATTGTCATGTCATACCACACTAATCATGTCATATGCACTAATCATTTAAAAAAATATTTTTTAACATTAAATTTTAAATTCAGTTTGCCTTTAAATGCAATAGCTCAATTCTAAAATTCAAAGTAACTTTTCTTCTGTTGAGTCTTATCTTCTGCAAAGTTCACCAGAACTACTTGCTCTTTGTTAAACTAATTTGAGTTTAGCTGTTTCATCTTGTGATCTTAGTGTTGATGGTTATCTATTTTTAATTTGAAGACTCCAATAGTCACATTCATGGCCTAGGCATTTGCATTCATAAGAATTTACCCATTTCTAGGAAAGCTAGGTTTGAATCCAGACTATTCTTTTACATGCTTTCGTTTAGCACCACTTCACTCTATAGCTCTCCTTCATCTCAAGACTGCACTCTTTTTGATGTTATTTCTGATCAAATTGAAAAAGCCCTCTCCCTTTATCCTTCAGCCAATAATGTTGTTGTTAGTGACTTTATTGCTCATCAAACTGAATGGCTTGGTTCTAGTGTCAGTGACTCTGCAGGCATTAAAGTCCACAACTTTTACCTTTCTCAGTCTCAACTAGAGATGGGAACTAAACTCTTCTTTTAATGTTTGGTTCTGGTTCAGTTTTATTTAATGTTTGAGTTCGGCTCGGTTTGGTCTTAGGCGCAGTTCAGGTTCAATTCAGTAACAACTAAAGTTTGAGTTCGGTTCAGTTTGGTATCAACACAATTGTTTTTTTAGCAATCAATACCATTGTTGGAAACTTAAGTTCACAGTCATTATCTTTCCAGAATTGCAATGCATCAAACGCTGTCACGGGCGGTGCCAAGTATTTTTCAAATTGATGTTGTATATCACTACTGCCAGCTTTAGACAACAGCAACTGCTTTTAGGTCTGCAAGGAAATCATGCAATTCAGGGTCAGCTACACTCTTTTTTAAAGGAAGCAGTTAATCTAAATGACTGCATTCACTAAAGCTGTCTATATCTATATTGCCTGAATCCTTGCGTAAGGTGTTAATGAAGAAATAATTTTGCCTAACAAACTTCGCATTTCTGAATAAACAAAAATTATAATTATACATAATTATTTATGTGTACCTTATTATGTGATGTATTATGGTATTGTAAAGTTATCACAATGTTAAAATCATCTTGTTCTATCTCCATTGAGTTATTGATAGTGTTGTGCACTTCAGAACAATGTTTTTCTACTGTATTGAAACCTAAGTTATAAGTAAAAAAAACTGCAAAGAAAACAAAAGTTTCAAAAAAAAATTCTAAAGTTTTTCTTTTTAAAATCGTTTTAACTCAAAACTTAAAAATGTGGAGATAGACAGAGTTCTAAAATCGTGTTATGTTTGGTATTGAAGTGCAAGTTACAAAACTTTCACTATTATAAATCAATTTTCGGTCTGGTTACAGTAAGGACAGTTTGTTCGGTTCGGTTTTTTCCCAAACAATTTCAAAGTTTAGGTTCAGTTTGGTAAGACATAAAGTTCGAGTTTGGTCATAGGTAAGGTTCTGCATGGTTCATATTTTATTACCACACCTAAAGACAGCTAATTTGTTTGCCAAGAACTTTTCATCAATCTCATCTCTTGATTGCACTAACCACATTCTACCTGATATAGCTGATATAGTTGATTGACTTTTGTATCACTCCAACTTCTTTATCTAAAGTGATTTCCTGCTTAGACTCTTCTACAGCATGTGGTCCGAATAACATACTTGTTATAGTCTTGCAGAAATATTTTAAGCATCTGCTAAGGTTGCATTAAGGTTGCATAAGGTTGCATCTCATGCTTGCCACTTTTTTACTCCAGATTCTATTCTTTATCTCTATAAATCTGTCCTTGTATGGAATACTGTTGCCATATCTGGAGCGGATCTTCAAATGATGCCCTTACTCTTATAGACAAGATACAAAAACACATTGTAAACATAGTTGGATCTGCAAGATTCAACTATTGTCACATTGTCTTAATGTTGCTTCTCTTTCTCTTTCACTGCTCTAAAGAACTAACATCTCTTGCTAGTTCTTTAGAGCTTTAAATGCATTATTATTATTACTTTTTTAACAATCTGTCAAAAATCTATGATATGCCATCTTGTCAAACTTTAACACAGAAGCTAGTTTTTCTATAAAATTATTCTATAAAACTATTGAAAACTTCTTAATCCCATCTTATAAGACTTGGTCTTTACATCTTAACCCCTGAAAATAAAGTAACTTCATAAAAATCTAGTTATGAAATTTCTAAAAAAGTATTGAACCTTTTTGCATTTTATTTAACTCAATTATATTTTATCAATTATATTACATAATTATATCATTTAATTTTATTAAACTTAATTAAGTTGATATTGTTATTATTATTATATTATTGTTGCCTCGAATTAAAAAAATTAATTAACTTTCAAACAAATTCTTTAAAATAAAATTATTTTAAAATTTATAAGATATAGTTATAAGACAATAACATATGGGAAACCTCATTCTTGGAAGCCCACGAATTAAATAGGTTAGATAGTTAACTACCAACCTCTAAATATGCAGGCTTGGACAGGAATAGCATGCGATCACACTCTGTAACTGACCACGCTAATAGTTTTTTTTCTTTAGAACTTGACCAAGGCTATTTTGATGTTTTAACAATTTAAATGCAATAAAAAGTGTAACGATGTGAATAACCTTTAATCGTTGATCTTTTCTAAAAATTTTATTTTAAGTGAGGGCTTTAAAATAAAACCATATAATTAATTTTTTAATGATTGTTTACATAAATGTGTGTGTAAATTAATAAAAAATGATAAATATAAATTTTATTTTGTAGGCATGTATTTTTCATGATACATTTAAACATTTGAAATTATTTTCGTATGTCTTCCTAAAAATCTTTTAAAGCATTAATTTTGGAAAGATTTTTTTTAAGTTACTTTAATTTATGAATAAGTTCAAAACCTTTTGCTTTTACACATTTTATGCGAATTATACAAGAATATAAAATAACTTTATTATTTAAGCATGTAATTTTTTGATTAATGGAAAAGTTTTGAAGCATTTTGTAATATTCATACAAATATTTTTTATAATTAAACTTACGATTTTTTAAAATCTTTTAAACAAACATTTTTATTTGTTAAAATTTTTTTTTTTTTCAATTACAATAAGGAATGAATGAGTTAAAATCATTTATAATAATTTTTAAATTCGTTACATGAAGCACTTATTCATAAAGTTGTAATGCTCAAATTAAAACTAAATTAAATTGCTTGTTGCCAGTTTATTTTATTTAAATTGCAGGCGCACTTTATTTATTTATCTTTTTCTTATTTTTACGAATAAGAGTTGGAAATCTTTTTTTTAACTAGACTTATTAATTAGAACATGAAATTATTAAAAATTACTATTTTAAAAAGACTACTTTATTTATTTTTTTTTTCAATTTTTGCAACTTTTTTGAAAAAATAAATGTTTATACAATTTATTCATAAATTTTAAAACATTTACCCAAATTCCAAACTCATTTTTTTGAATAAATAAATGTTTATACAATTTATTCATAAATTTTAAATCATTCACCCAAATTCACCTTTTAATAAATTTAATAAAACTTGTTCATTTATTAAACAATCATTAGTAGTAATTTGTTACTTAATTTAAAAGCGTTTTGCATAATTTTAATAAAATGTTTAAAAAGATTTATTTCAAACGTGATTAAAAACATAAAAAAAAGTTTCGCTTTAAGTTTAAGTTTTTATTTTTTATTTTTAATTTAGTGCTTATATAATTTCTTTTTCAGAAAAAAAAAATTTTTATTTCTTTTTTGTTTAGGAATTTTTTTTTCGTTAGTTTTTTTTTTTTAACTTTTTTCCTAGTTTAAGTTTAGCTTAGCATTTCTGCATTCAGCACATTTCTTAAATGTGTAAATCATCAAAACATATAAACAATTGTGGTCAAGTTGTCCAGAAAAAAGATTATTTGCGTGGTCAGTGTTCAATTGCACGCCATTCCTGTCCAAGCCTGAATATGTCATCAAGATTTGAAAAGCTGTGTCAGATAAAAATTCAAATTGTAAAAATAAATTGTTTGCAATTTTCAACATATCATATGAATCGATTTCTAGAAGTCATCTTAAATTTTCATCTAGTAATCAACTAGGGGTGTAAAGTGATAGCTTGTCTAGAACCTTGTTGAGCTCAACAAATGTCATCTCAAGCAGCTTGTTTCCTCTTTTTTTTTTTCAAATTATCTGTGTGGTGACCTCAGCAAAATCTTAGTTTTCAAATGGTACCTATCTGTTTCAAATATATCTTAGTTATCAAATGGTACTTTGTATTCAAAGGGTACCTGTCTCTTGAGGTAAATGACTATTGTTTTTTAGCTTTTAACTACAATAAACCAAGACAAACTGCCAGTGGGGTCATTTCATGTCAAATCATTTAAGAATATCAAAAAAATGTCACTCCATTTTTTAATATTTTATAGGGTTTATAAAAATTAAGAAAATCTGAAATTTGGAGCCTCAAACCCCTTATGGTTCTTGAGATATTCAGGTTTCAATTTTCATATTTATGCTGACTCTGCATTTTTTGCAAAAAGCATTTTTGTCATTAAATAGCAATATTTTATGGACGAAACAAGGTATTATTCTGAAATTTGGTACATAG